TGTGACTATGTGAGTGTTTTGCTTGTCACTTTTATGTTTTGACTATGTATGTATTAACCATGTTTTCGATATGCTTGAAACAATTTCACTCCATCTGGCTTTACCTAATGCTAAGTACAATTTCTGTTTTTTTATTGGTCATGCTGTAATTGAATATGTATTTTTTTGAATATTATACACATGGAGCCCTGGTCAGCATGGAACAACAGCATTTGCTTATTGTCCGCCAGTTGAAAGTATAGGCTTTTTTTATTAGTATTACTATTATTATTATTAAGTGCGCTATTTATATACCTTTACTAATTTCGGTCGGATCAGAGACTTCTGTGGAAGGCAACTCATGACAAATTCCAATTAGCCGTTTGGCCTGTAGTCTATGAAATTTTAAATATCCCAAGATAAAAAATAGCTTACATGCTGTTACAGACTATATTTCTGTACCAAATTTCATCCAAATCCGTTTACCCATTCAGGCGTGATTGAGTAAGGACATCCACGCTTTCTCATTTATAAGTAGAGATTTTAAGCCTGATAATGGACCCTCCATAATGTTCTCGTTACCACTCGACGAGCCGCTACTCGTGACGACTATTTACCCTTATTCTGTTCTATTTATAGTAGTGAGCATCTCTGATGTCACGCGAACCTAAGACTAGGAGATGCCATCTTCGTATGCAAAGTAGAACATAACTTTGGCAATAAACGGTACACTTTAGTCTGTCATACGTCTATTGTTGTTGCTGTGCACACATACACATCTTCGAACTTGTAGTTCGTGCTTTAACCAGACGTGTCTACAACGCTGGGCTTGAAATTGGTTTACGCTTGCTGTGTCGAAGACATTTACGCTACAGCGACTCTAGACTAGACCCACAGACAGTGCTGTCGAGCAGATAATAATAATAACAATAATAATAATGTTTATTGGTCCAATTACAAAGTTTTCGTATAAATAATAACGGCAATATCCTAAAAACGTTATATACCCAAAAAAGTGTACACTTATGCTTGGGTTTTAAGCGAAATTGAGTTATATTAATACAAGAAATTTTCTTTAAGTATAATAGTCAAATGTAAAAATTTGCATCTTTTTATAATTAAATAACATATAGGCTTTTAGTGTCAACAGACTTATGGATTTGTAGCCTTAATTGATTTAGGATCCATGATTTTAATTCAATTTTTAAACGTTTTATACATTTTATATGTTTAAGGTTTGCAGGAATAACATTATAAAATTTTGAGCATAGAAAATAGAATGATCTCTGGCTGATAGTTTTATTAAGTCTAGGAATTAGTGTTGAGATTTCTTTGAATCGCGTTTGATGGTTGTTGCTGATAGAAAGTAACAATTTTGGATTTGTTGTTAAATATATTATTGTATGATAAAAATAAATTTGTCGACAGTCGAAAAGCTGAGATTCATTGTAAAGATTTTCTGAGGGATAACATGTCTTTTTGTTCAAAATAACTTTCAAAATCCACTTCTGCGTAATTTCAATCTTTTTATAATAATTATTCATGACTCCCCCCATGCTAAAATTCCGTAAGATAGTAGTGATTGAACAAGGGCATGATATATCATGTGTAGATATTTTTCGCTTAAAAAACTGCTGAAATATTGCACTTTCGGAATAAGGTATCTTAATTTTTTTACTAAATTTTCAATATGTTTATTCCATATTAGATGGTTATCTATGAATACCCCTAGGTATTTGAAATTATCAACCGATTGTATGTTTCTACAGCTGTTCAACGTTTTAATTTGGAGTTGATTAAACTTTGGGGAAGATCTGTTGTCGCAAGAAAATGTAATAAAGTATGTTTTGTTGAAATTGACTGTTAAAATTATTTCCGTTAAAAAATTTGTAACCTTTTGAAAATCTAATACAATTTTGTCTGAGTAAATAATTGCCGTATCGTTTGCAAAACCAATAATTTCTCCATCGTTTTTTAACTTAAAAAGGTCATTAATATATGAATTAAAAAGCATTGGTCCTAATACGGTTCCTTGTGGACTCCGCATCTAACAATCATATTTTCACTCAGTGTACTGTTGATGTTTACACATTGTGTCCTGTTTGCCAAATAACTTTTCATGAGTTGAAAAGTGACTCCACGAAATACTAAACTTTGCAAGGTTCTTAATAATTTTTGAGGTGTAATACTATCGAATGCTTTGGTTAGGTCTACAAAAAGGCATGCTGTTGACTTATTATTATCAACGTACTTAATTAACCATTACTTTTGTTTGTTAGAGACACTGTGATGATACCACCTAATTCATATAAACAAACCCTGAGTCTTTTACGGCTATTCCTAGAATATATCGGTGGCACCCTTCCATGTGTGGTTTACTCTAATGAACTTCATTGAAAGTTAAATAGAGTTTGATGTACCGAGAGTTAGGTCGATAAGCACTTTCGGCTTTAATTATGTGGTGAAGCTCGAATCGTCGAAGTTGTTTAATTATAAAGTATCCTGTAAGCCCGTTTTCACTAATTTAGTCCCTTTATCGACAAACGGATACACACAAACTGTTTATTTGCCTTTTGCAGCTTCGTGGGCGTCTGTATGTAACGTGGTTGGCTACATTTTATTTTATTTTTTGGGTGTGGAGAGTTAACTACAGACTTCTAACAACCCGCAATAGGCTACTTGACTCATATCGAATTTCATAGAATAAATGACTATTTTTTACAGTATTTGGCTTAGGAAAATAAAATATATCGATAACAGTGTTTAATAGCGCAAGATGTAGATACCTGTACATATAAGTTCGATTAAAAAAATACATTTTTTATTTTTAATATGAAGCGCTTAAAACACTATCGGCCATGTTGTGACGTCACACAAATTGTAAGCAAATAAACGTCATGTGTATGTCACTTGTTGACTAACGTTGTCTTCCTTAAATGTTCCTAAAAAGTTCCTAATCAACGTAAAAGGTTATCGTGTTTCCGTTTTATTGAAAAAACAATCATGGACGTTGGATCCTTGGTAACAGTGTACAAATTTGCTAAAGTTGAAACATTGATGGTTCGCAGTTTTCATGTTCAACCCAGAGTTTTGCTCTGCATATCTAAAGAACACGAGCTTCCATGTAAGTACAGTGCATCTGTAAATGATTAATATGCTCTACATCATCTTCCTTTTCAGAAGTCGTTCAAAATCAACCTCAGGCAACATAACCTCTGAATGACCTTGTCTAATGTATTCCTTTTTACACATCTACAAGGGAATCGTTCGGCGATAGTGCCACGGGTAACGTCCAACTTAAACGAGACAATAAAATCTGCGCAGTAAAATGTAAAATATGTCCCTATGCTTGAATCGATGCATGGAGTTGCGTATATTTATTTCCCTGTGCACAAAAATGTATTTTTGATTAAACTTTTATGGTCTTCTGGACCTTAAAAAAATATATTAATAATGTCTTTGGTCTAATAGAACAAATATTAATTTTTTAAGACTTACTTAAAAATGTGTCAACGAGCCTATTGCCGACCAGTGGCACAATAATGCTCTCCGACTGTCTATGGGCGATTATGTGGTTTAGTGGGAAAGCAGCAGAAGAACACAGAGAGAAACTTTTGCGCCTCATACCATACTAAGCCTACCTAGCGTAATTAAGACTTTTTGACTCGTTTAGCATGAGGTGGACTCCAGAATCGCCTCGAGAACACTTCTGAAAAGGTCGGAAGTTACTTTGCATTGAGTTTTAAACAAACAACGCCCAATGAGGAGCTTATTATCTGCATTTCAGATTAGGCTATAACAGTTGTCATCACAGCCTGCCATCAATATCGAAAATGTCGACTTGCCAGCTGCCTCTTTTTGACGATGACCTTTGGACGGTTTGTATTAACTTGTGCTTAATTTTACTAAGGAATGCACAATAGTAACAAAAAGTGTTTACAGTGTTTACTTTATTTTTTACAGCAGAACGGACTACGCTAAATAGAAGCAACCAGTATTGCAATACTGTTTTTGGCAGTTTTAGCGAGTTTATACTGCTTGAGTCTCAATCTGTAAATCAGTACACTGTTTTTGTAATAACGAGCAACAGGGAGCTTAAAAAATCCTAAGACAAGAAGTTGTCGTTGGTGCATATACTTGACAAATTGAAAGGTCAAAAATAATACAAGCATTTTAAAAAGCGATGCTTGCAATATGATCAGTAGGGTCTGTAATTAGAATAAAGCGGTGAACAGAACATGCAAAGCGCTATGGAAAGAAGCCAAGTAAAAGTAAGGATAGCGCCTCTATAGACTAGGGAAATAAATTAATTTTATAAACTCGTTTTTGCAAATTCCTTCACGTGTAATAACAGGAATTTTGCCTTCCCTTCTACAGATATTTTTTTAAGTTCACTGTACTTATTATTATCAAAAACCGTCAAAAAGTGTGAGAGAGAGAAATATTCGAAACATTTCACGCTGTGACTGAAGCTGTCAAAGGTGGTATTGCAACACTGGTTGCCTATATTTAGCCTTGTCTGCTCTTAGCTACAGACTCAAGAAAAAAATATCTTTCCATTACAATCCTGCATTATTTTGTAACATTTATCACTGAAAAAAACCTTCAAAATTGTATCGTTAATATTCTGAATAGACATGGCCAGCTGAGAAAAAAAATGTTAAACCCTCTCTTGTCCGTTCTTATTCGTTCAAAATCCAAGGAGAGGTCATTGCTCAAACAACCCCGAGTCCTCGTGATTGAATGCTACCTCTCAGTCGGGGCAGGTTATTATGTTTTACTTGGGTTGACTACTATATACAAGACATCTTAAACAATCTCACCAAATATGTAGTTACTTTGAAAGAATTTGATGCATGATATGCTAGAAAGCCATACAATGAAAGAAAATTTTCTATAAAAATTGAAGCTAGACTCAATTTATATGCTGAAGATATCATTACCAAACATTTCGTTTTTTTTTTCAGAAAACGCAGGACCAGGGCCGGCATGTTAAGGGTCGTAGGGACCAGACTTTTCACCCGTCTTTTGTTATTAGTCTGCTCCCTAAGTCTGCTCAGCCTGTTATTTCTCAGCCGTTGCGGCCTTGACACCAGTGCAGTCAGCTCAGAAGACGTAGACGTGCAACAGCCATTGCTTTCTGGTAAGTGCTACATATTATACCCTGTATATGAATACCCTTATCTTATTTCTTGGTACAGGACATTTCGTCAATATGAAGCAAGAATTCACGGAACACGTCAACTTTTTACCGTTTATTGCAATTTTCTAGAAACCTCCTTGCTTTGGTTATAAACGATAAAACACGATTTTTATCCAGAAACCAGAGTATCCTCTCTCGGAGGTTTTTGATACGCTGAATCCGAAATCTCCCGATTGGCTCTGGTTTCCGAGACATATCAACCTGAAAATGCAAACAAGTACTGATTTTTTCCTATATTTGAGATTTTGTAGCCTGGAAAATTATCTTTGTCCAAAAGACCATAGGCATCACCTCAAAGTACAAGCTTTTCCCTTGCAAATGTCGTTAAGTTAGCTTATTTTTTTTTCGGCGAGATATGGCTCATTCAGAATTTCTATTCTTCTAAAATTTCCTATATTTGATACCCCAGATACACATCTAGATACGATGTGACCACGTGTGCATCAAAGTTGTGACTTGGATTATGATACACCACAACTGTAATAACACGTTGATGCATTTTTATAAAATAAGGCCTAACTAAAAAACCCCTAAATACCCAACACCAAATCCATAAAATCACAAGCCCACAACCCATCCTACCCTATCAAGGCGCAACTCAATGTTCTTATTCTATTACTTTCTTCTGATAAAAGCTGAACCGACCTAGATCGGAAACATGAGAATTTCAAAGGGCAATATCTCAGCGAAAAGTATTTAAACAAACTAGAGAGCATTTGAACGGGCAAGATTTGTACTTTGAGATGATTATGGTTTTCTGAAGTAAATGTCATGCTGCATAAGCTCAAATGTCGGCAAAAGTAACAATGCTTTGCATATATTTTGCATATAGCTACTTGAAGGATTTGGACCACGGACTTGGGTTCAGCGAACAATAGCCATTGAAAGTAAACTCTTGCTTCTGGGTAAAAGAATTAACTCACTTTTGTCGACCTGTACATATATTATAGAAGGACTCCTTGATCTTTAAAAGCTACTTAGAAAACCTGGTTACTTTCAGTTAGAATATATGGCTACGTTTGCATCCCTACGAGCCCTTACATATGGTACAGTAGGATCGTACAATGTCAGTTTATACCGGACGTTTTCATTAACCCACCAACAACGTTTAATATTTGTACGTCATCCTTGCAGAAAAATGATATTTACATAATCAGAGAACTATATTCTACAATAAATATGTTATATATACCCTTTATGGCGAAGTATCGGAAATAATCATCAACTTTTTGATCTTTGATGAACTCATGCTGGAGAATCAATTTACGGTACTACTCGTACAAGCAGGAAACAAGCCGCCTTTTACGTACTGTGATCGTAGATGAGACGCCGGTCCCTCAACCGTCCGCCAGAAAAGTCTCAACGTTGGGTTGAAAAGGGAGAGATGCCAAGTCCAGTAGCACTGTCAACAAGGTACGAACCTCAAGTTATGATGATATTAGCAATGGATACCAAAGGGATTTGTTATTATGAAATACTGGCTTAACTGGGAACTATTAACCAGGAGAGATATCTTCGATTCCTCAAGAAACATATCAAACATTAGCATGGTACTCGCAAGCAAGCAGTTTGGCTTCTCGATGACAATCCTCGATACCAACCTAGTACCTGTATAATGTTCAGAATTGAAGAAAACCGAACTGAACGTTGGATTCAGCCTGTCCATTCTCCGGGCTTAAGTCCCTGCGACTACGGTTGTTTCCACACACTGAACCCCCTTGGTAATGCCATATACAGTGTGTCCGCAAAGTTGGGGTTTTCCTTTTCAGAAACAACTACCCTTGAAATAACAAAGGTAATATGTAGTGAAACGAGGGCCACCAAGTAAAAAAAAATAAAGGAAAAAGTACTCACCCTCCAGTTGACGAGAAGGGCTAAGTACGTCTCTGCCCGAAATCATACCGCTCCAACAGAAAATGAAATCAGCTGATGTGCTACCCAGCAGACGCCGGCGGGGGTGCAGACCACGAACAGAGGTAACAAATATGACCATCGTGCAGAAACCACATTGATTGTCTTACACTTAATCGCACATCTTCTAACAAGGAAGGCAAAATGTTGCATAAAAGGTCTAGGTATTGCATCCCGTCCAATCGATTTGGGAGAATAAATGGTCCAATGAGCATACCGTTCACCATGCCAGTCCAAACATTCACCGAAAATGTTTGTTGAAAATGTGCCCGACGGACAGCGTGCGGATTTTCTACGGACCAAACATGAGTGTTGCGAAGTTATTCACCCCATTACGCGTGAACGTAGATTCGTCTGTCACCAATATGCACTTCAAAAGGTCCGGATTATTGTCATGTTGATGCAACAACCACTCACAAAACCGCACTCTTGCTGGAAAATCGTCAGGTTGAAGGGCTTGTACACGTTGGACGTGAAACGGATACCGCCTCTTCACGCAGCGTTTGCCACACTTTAGTTTTTGATACTTGCACTTCTCTAGCCACGTCTCTAGTGCTTGTTGTTTTTTGAAACGCAATCGATTATACGGGTTCGTTTACTTCTACACGCGTGACCGTAACCGTCGGTTGAAGGTTGCATACTGACCTGACACACACTGACCCCGACTCAGTTCTGTCGTCGGGTTGAGCTAGTGTCCTAGTACCAGTTGGGGATGTCGCGAGTCGCGGCTACAGGACGGTATTCAGATATTTTTGATGCTGCAGAGCCCTTTATCTCGGTTCCCTTAAGATGGTATGGTACTAAGAAAAATTGCTTATGTTTTCAAGATCTACACGTCGTGTAAAGGAAAACCCCAACTTTGCGGACACCCTGTATATAAGTGGAAAGTGTCTGCCTTTTAGCAAATGGCCAGTACGCGGGCAGTGATATATTAACACGGAAGGGCATTAGCTGTAATTAACATCCAATACTCAATAAAGTATTTTTATTAACAAACTTCTTTTCTACCTCATAGCTTGACTCGTAGTCGGTCGAACGAAGCACCTACGCATTTAGGATCCAATGACAAACCGTAAAAAACCTAGAGATCCAATCAAAAGATCTCTTATACCTGAGATATAAACTTGCTGTCATCTTAATGGAAGAAAAATGTCATCTGAGAAAAACAGAAAGTATATGCAAATAATTCATAGTTCATTCCTAACGCTTGAATTATACCGCCATCCAACGTAACGTTTTGAATGCCACTATTGTCTCTTTAGCAATTCAAATCTCTCAGTATGGTAATGCCGGCTAGGGGAAGAGACATAAAGCATCTTAAACTTGCTTAATGGCTTGGGGGTATCTTCACTCCGTGCAATCAGATTTTGGAGTAGGGAGTCATGTAATTGGAATATTATATCCGTCTTCTACGCTGGGAGATGTTATCATTGCAATGGTCTCAATGTAATGTATTAGGTCTATTCTTGTTAAGATGACGTTTTACATCTCGTCTTATACGATAAGTATCAAGAACCTTCTGGCATCCGTGAAAACATTAGAATCAGCACTGAGAAATTGATACTGACAGCTAAGACATAGATCAGAGCAGATTTTAGCGGAATCTCAAATATATTTTCAAAGCATGAAGCTGTATAACGTATACAAAAGTAGAGGGTGCGGCAGAGAGGATGGACGGTCTTAAAAAAATCATAAAATAGTTAATTTTTACACGAAAACAAATTTATTGATGGAATCAGGTTCACAAGGAAATAGCATTTCAGACAGTCAATTGTGGAAAATCATCTCAGGCATGTGGTGGCCGAAATCGTTGATGCAGCGCTAGAGGCCTTCTTGGAAATTCGCGTAGGCTCTCTCCAACATCGCTCTCTCAACTGGGCTGTGCAGCGGTCTTTCGTGTAACTGTTGCGGATTTTCATTAGCCCAATAATGACATTTCTGCCGGTTAACCATGTTGTTTAGGTAAAAGTGCGCTTCGTCACATGAACAAAATGAGGTTCTCATTTTGATCGATCAGTGCTTTCATCTCACGTGCGAAGTTCATTCGTTGTGCATAATCTCCGGGCTGTAACTGTTGCACAATGGCCAATTTGTAGGGGTGAAAGCGGAGATCCATATGCAAAATTCGCCTTACCGAACGATCACTAAGGCGAAGTGCAGCACCATGTTTCCGGGCAGATCGAGTCGGACTGCGAAGAAAGACCTGACGGACGCGTTCAACATTTTCAGGAGTTCGAACTGTTCGCGGCGCTCCTCTTGGTCTTCTGTTGATTAGTTCACCACGCCTGCCAAGTGATTCAACCCAACGAAGGATGGTTCTTCGAGAGGCAACAGCTCTATTCCAATAAATGTTGAAATGGCGACGAAACTCACGCTGTACGACGATGTCTGACTCATTATTTCGGACGAAACAATCATAGGCGAAAACGCGGTGCTCCATCGTCCAAGGCTCCATAACGACAACTGGTAAAATGATGCTAGGATCTCACGAGTCAAACGGCACCCTCCCCACCTCTCTCGTAGACGGAGGCGGAGAGTACTACCCATCCCAAAAACTTCCGTCCTCTCTGCCGCACTCTGTATAAAGTAAACAAACTTGTTTTGATCATGGATTCACAATTTCAAACGTATTGGAACGCATTTGATGCATCTGAAATATGGTTAGATAGATTATGGTTCAAGAAACAAAGAGTCCAATAGAAGGATGAAAAAAATAACAAGCTATCCAAATAAGTCAGCGCTATACACTGAACTGAGCACAAAGCTTTCATACGCTCAAGTAGGAGTATGAGAACATGTTTCGTGCAAGTTACACATCCTCAATGAAATAGTGAGATTCAGAGAGTGGCTTTGTTTCATTTTAAAGCTCGTAGCAAGACATTGACTTTTTTATATCGAAGCAGCCGCGCAAGCAGAAGCCTAAATGCCGGAACATCGCGGCTGCTATGATGATCCCAAAGAAATTTTGTTAGTACGATTTTTGAACCAGACTGTGAAATCACATAAAAATAAATTTCCTCTACATGGTTTTGCTGT